TTAATTAATAGGCCGATTATTTTAACTTCGAGCTTAAAGCTAGGAAATACGTTATTTAAGCGAATTAAGAGGTATACGTTATATAGCCTTTCTTACCTTATATATAGTATATATATATAGGCAGGCTCGGGCGCGGGTATTTAAGCGGTACTACTACCTACTATATAAGCGCGGTATAAATAAGCGGGGCGGGCTAGCGTTAGTATATATCTTAAAAATAAGGCGTTTATATAAATAGAGATATATATATATATAAATAGTAATACTTATATTTATTACTAAAAGGGTAGATAACGCTAGCTATATTTTATAGCTACTAGCCTATTAGTACCTTAGATAAGAAGTAAAGGTTAGCTTCTTTTATAATCTCTTTTTACTTAATTAGCTAGTTTAGTAGGTTAGTCTTAGTACTAGCTTAAAGGTAACTAGAATACTACTTCTTAATTCGGTTAGTTATAAAACCGCGTAAAGGAGTAGTCGATGCTTTTAGCTTCTATAGCTACTACTAAAGTATATCCCCCTTTTAAAAAGAGGTAAGTTTAATAGTACTAATAGACTTTATAATAGCTATATAGGCTATAGTAATTAGCTTAGTCTTATAAAGGTATTCCTTACTCTTACTATTATAGTTAGTAGTAGTAATAAAATAAGCTCTTTAATTTATAAACTTAAGGTTATATTAAGATCGGAACGCTTATTTACTATACTACCTAATAAGTAGTAAGTAGTTCGTAATACTATATTAGTAATAAATTCGAACCTTCTAAGTAACGTTATTATTTATACTACTTAAGTAGTAACTAGTCTTTTTATTTATACTTATATAAAATAAGTAATAAAGTATAGAAATTTCTATACTTTATATTCTATATTCTATATTCTATATAGACTATCTATATTCTATATATATAAAATATAGGCGGAAAATTATTAACCTTACTAAGGCTATCTTAAGGGTCGCTAAGTCTATAAGATTAAGGTAAGTTACTAGTAAGGATTCTATTAGGTTTCTACGTTAAAGCTAGTACCTAGTATATATATTATAATAAGGTCGGCCCGGAAATATTTTAAGTGTTCTCCTATATTTTTAGTAGCTCTACTAGCTATATTGCGTCGCTATCGTTTACCGTCGAGCTTCGCTTATCCTTAATATCTATTCTACTAAATCCCTTTAATAATAGCGGCTATAGGACCTAAAAGCGTAAGCTAACCGCGAATACTTAGGTATACGCCTATAAGCCCTAGGAGTTAGAGCTAGCACGCTACTCTTAGAAGAATAAGAAGATTTATTACTATATATACTACCGAGATCCTACCTATTCTACGACCGTCTTAACTATATTTCGCTGCTATTTACTTAAGATCTATAGAGTTAAGCTAGTTACCTATAACTATCGAATTAAGAAATAGCGCGATAGCTTTATCTAAGATGCCTTTACTAAGGCTAGTAAGGTAAATACTATAAAGTAATTAGCGAGGTAAGAGTAAATACTTTAAGCTATAGTTAATCGTAAGGTAGTACTTAAGGTACTAATATAGCTCGTTATAGTCTATAATCTCTCTTATAACTATAGCTCTTAGCTAGAACTATACGCGCTTATTTATACTATAAACTATACTATAGAGGATATAATTAGTTTATCTTATAGCTTTATTTAAAAGCTAGTCTCTAATTCTTACTATATATATAAGGATATTCTTTAGAGGAAGTTATAATCGTCGCCGTTAAAGCTCTACCTCTCTACGAACGTTTCGTTAGCTTTAAACTATAAAGCATTCCTTAGAATTTACGCTAAATTTATAGATATAGATACTAAGGAGACGATATAGGCGTTGCTAGCCTTATTAAAGCTACCTAGCCTTAATAGACCGGGAATTTATAGTAGAGCTAAGTAATAGAAGCTACTCTAGCACGCTCTCGAGGACTATAATATCTAAAATAAGATTAGCTTCTATACTAGCGATAACTATAGTTCTAATAATAAGCTTTATAGGTTACTTAGCGAGTATCTTTAAGGGAAAGGTATTAGCTAGGAGGTAAAGAAGTAGAGGATTTACTATTATAGCTATATTATTAATCTCGCTATATAAGCATTCCTCTTTATAGATTCTAAAGAAGCTATATATATAGCTCTAAAATAGATTAAGAGCGATAATATAGTTACCTATAATAGTAATTTCGCCGAACGGGTTAAGATATAATAAGCGCTTAGTTAGCGTTATTTAGGTCCTCTTAGTAAAGTCTATAATATCTCTATATATATATATAGGATAATAATTATTAGTAGAATCTATTTAAGAAGTATATAGGAAGGTTATTATAGCTTAATAATAATACGCGCTAGAACTTATAGTTCCTCCTCTTAAATATTATTATTAATCTTTAAGAGTATATAGAGTATTATCTAAGAAAGTATTACGATAATATATAGGACGATTATATCGACCTTAATATATAGCGAGCCTTATAGAAAACACGCGCCTTCCTTTAACCCTTCTAAAAGATTACCTAACTAATAAAGGGCCGCTATATAACTCTAGACCGTATACTCTTTACTATAGATATTCTTTATAGGTATTATATATAGGCCTTCTAAAAGTATAGTAATAATTATTCTCTTAGAAGCTATATTATAGCTTTATAAGCTATATTTAATAATTATTACTAGCTTATAGACGAGAGTCCTACCTATAGCATAGCTATAATGCTTTATCCGTCGCGGCGTTTAGCTTATATTAAGAAGAACTAGCTAAAACCGTAGTATAAACTAGTCCTTAACGGCGTAAAGAAGTATTAGGAGGATTACTATTAGGGACTACTAATACTATAACGCCTAAGCTACGCAATAACCTATAGCCGCCTAACGAGTATAAGCTGCTTGCTCGCGAGCTTAATATCGTTAGCCTAGCGATAAGGGACCTCGACGAGTATAAGTCCTTTACCGTAGAACCCCCCGTAGCTATTAACTATTCCCTGCTTACGTGGTAGCTAAGAGAGGAGCAGCAATAGCGATACCCCCGTCTTTCTAAAATGGCCGTTGATATCCTCTCTAGACCCGCTATATCGGCCGAGCTAGAGCGTGTGTTCTCCGGCGCACGGCGTATAATATTATAGGATCGATAGCGATTAGGAAGTTATATAATCGAGAGAGGAGAGTATATAAAGAGCTAAATTAAGAGTGGCATTATATAGGGTATTCCGGTCGACTTAGCCGGTAAAGAGGAGAAGGAGGAGGCTAGCGAGATAGAAAGGTAGCGATGCTTAATATCTAATTCTTCCTATAGCTAAATTAATAGATAACGTTACCTCGTGTATTCTATACGTATAGAATAAGTTTCTATACGAGGTGTGGTCCATATTCCATATTCTATATAGGCTTATATAGAGTATGGAATATGGATAGAAAGACTGGTGGCAACATCGCCACTCAGCCCAAAATCATAAGTATAAGAAGCTAACTTTTCACCATCACTTAGATAGAGAATTAAGAGTATTTCGTTGCCCGATTCACAGGGGATCTCCTTCCCGATCGTTGCTCAGTCATCCATACTGTCCGTGCCTCTTGTTGTGTGACATATATTGATTCCACTCTGTGACTTCCGCCTGGACCAGGGAGTCCAGTGCATTCCGAAGCCTGTAGCCTCGCTCCATCATAGCCTCGGACGAGTTCCATCGAGTAGCATTGTGCATGTGGTCAAGAGCACCCTGGCACTGTTGACATTCTAAGCAGATCCGGGATCCGGATTTTGGTCGAGGGAATTCTCAGCCTTCGCATTCGAGGGGGGTATGGTCATGGTAACTGCTCCCTCACAGTCGCACCGAAGCGTTGACCACTTTTCGCAAGCAAAGCCCTGCTCGGTACATTTCGACTGCAGCATTGGTTCGAAATGGGATGTACCCTAGGCTCGAGTGGACGAGCGAGGCCCTTTGCATGCCAACTACCGAAGCGAGGACCTTGTTCCAGGGTCTTGAGGCTGTCTCAGGGCTTCGAGTTGGCATGCAAACGGCACGAGCCTCCGGGTAACTTAGCTTCAAGCTCTCACTGGCTACTTGGAATGCAGCAAGGGCGGCAATTCGAGACATGAGGAACCGTGCCACGACCAAAGGGGGCTGCCAGGCAACTGCGCGTCATTTACGCGTAGAGCCTTGCAAGACGGGTCAAACTAACAAGTAATAACAATCGTGAAAGCAGCACGAGATTGGTTAGTCCCGACATTGATATAAAATAGTGGCTATTATCTCGTCGAGAATGTCGATGCAAATACGTGCGGCTTCGCGCTAGGCGGGGTGGGCCAGACTCGAGAAATCATCAAACCAGACCAAGACCAAGACAGACCAGACCATTCCGATCACTGGCTAATTAAACCGCTGCTCACGTATGCAAAACGACACCACTTTGACACCAGAATGGCTTGAAAAATCCCATTGTCCTACTCTGGAGCACAAAGACAAAAAGATGCGACAATGGCAGAGTCTTACAGCCCGCCGTACGCCTCACTGTGGCCCGTGCGTACCTCAGGGGCCCCTCGGTTTTGAGACCTCAAGCTGCGCGCTCAAGGAACCCTCACTCTGGTATAACCTTCGCACTCGGGGTCGATTGTCTTGCCTCTCGCAAGCCATCCAGCTGGCTCAGGCTCCGAGTGACGCATATCAACGGCGAAGGCTTAATTCCAAGAGTAATTGAGGGAATGTCTGCCGCGACGTACCGTATTCACTCGTTAAATATAGCCCGTCTTGGCATTCGCTGCTGTACGTCTGCTCCACGAAAACCCTGTTGACTTTCAACGCCAGATATGGGATGTAACGACCGCCGAACGCTCACGCATTCCCCTTCGTGATTCTGGGAATTCCATTAGTTGCGAGATGTTCATTCTGTGACTCGCGAGGTATAAAAGGCAATGGCCACCGCCATGGCCACTCCTGATTAATCTTCATCGAGCAGACAGCAGCACCTTCAAGCAATCAGACGACTACCAAGGAACTCTACCGATCTTTCAGGATGAAGGTCTCGTTCGCTTCCGCCGTTTTCTTCGCCAGTGTGGCTTTTGCCGCAGTCGAGACCGCCGAGGAGACCGGTCTGGATATTGGCAAGCTCCTCAATGAAGCTGGGCCCTTGTTGAAGAAGGCCAAGTGCCTGGGTCCGTGCGTCTACAAGGCGTCGGACAACTTGGATTGTAACGGCAAGGGTCCCTTGAGCACTCTGTGCGCCAACTTAGACGAGGTTAAGGAGAAAACGGCGCCGTGCGCCAAGAAATGTGGCATCGACAGGTCAATGAGTGGTAAGCATGAAATCGAATCACTTGAGACGAGAAACGCTTTCTAATCGGATAATCAATGAACAGACACGGTTGTTAAAGTCGCAAAGAATCTCTGCAAATCGGCCTCAAACCGATAAGACCGGTTCTAGGTTATAAAAGACCGCAGTACTCGGCCTCGATGTTATCGATTCTAAAGTGGTGGAGGATCTGGTTTGGCCAAAGACACACCTAGTGCAGTCAGCGAAACGAACATAGAGTTGATATGACCTGCCTGATTCCATGTGAGGTTGTCTGAATCGCCAACGTCACTGTAACGGGCAAGCCGCTTTAACGGCGGCTGCGCCGCCTAGCTTCTAGAACCTTCCATTGGCTCGAAGCTATAAAATGCCGTTATGCTCTTATATAGCAGATTCTCTTTCTTTCTTCCTTTCTTCTATATCTTAATAGTAAACAGCATAGGGTCTAGTTAGTTATATTAACTTACTAGAGGCCTTTTATATACTATTAAGATTACTAAAGACACTAAAGACACTAAAGTAACTAAGTCCCGTCGGAACTATTAACGTTTAACGAAGTCGCGATAGCCGAAGATAATAATATTTTAGCCGGACGTCCTTAGCGCCCTAGTTGCCGAGATACGAAGTTTAAGAGAAGAGAATTCCTAAAGAAATACCTAGTTTAAAGAACGGTTTATTGCCCTAGAACTCTAGCAATACTAGTAATCCCGTTCGTCTAAACTCCTAGAGCTAACGCTATCTATTACCCCGGCTATCCCTATCGAGGACATCTATATAGTCGCCACTTATAGCCCTTATCTAACTAAGCGCCTTAAATTACGAGATATCCTAAAATTCGGCGGCGATAAGGCCTAGTAGCGAAGCTAGAAACTAGAAACCGAAGGAAAACTATAAGTCGATAAATAAGCCCTTAGAGATATAGAGGGCCACTTTATATATATCTTTATAAGCCTAGAAGGTAAGACTAAAGATAACGTAACTATATTTATAGAGATATAAACCGAGAAGAAAACGTTTAATATTGCTAAACTACTTAACCGCCTCGAGTTATTATACGGGGAGAGGGATCATAAGCAAAGAGCTACACGCAACTTATATTCGATTAAGCAAGGGGAGAATAAACTATTTACGTCCTTTTACCCCCGCTTTAAGAGGGAGATCGCCAATGCTAACGCCGAGTATTGGCCAGACGATAGCAAGATTTCCTACCTCTCGGAGGCATTAAACGATAAAATAAAAGCAGCCCTTATAGGCTCTAACCCCTCTACTATTAGCAGCTATATTAGGCTAGCGAGGAGATGCGATTCGCTAAGTAGCTAGATAGAACTATTAGGTTAGTAGAAAAGGCCCCGAGGCAATATAAAGAGTTCGGATAACTATAATAACTACTAGAACTATAGAGGCTAGGCCGCCTAGAAATAGTCCGGCTATAAAACTAAAGTTAGACGAGAGGATATAATAGAATAGGAGCTAACTCTATAAGCATCCGCGAAAGTAAACGCTGCGCGCACCCGCAGTAATAAGAACATATATGGTCACTAATCCAACCGACCAGAAGACCAAGCGCTGTTGGGCAAGCGTGCAAAGTGGGTCGATCAGACCGAGATAGACGCCCGTTACCGTGAAGGGCGTTGCCTTCGTTGCGGAAGAGACAACTGCAGGATCGAGCGCTGCCCATTGGCTAACTACTCATATAGGTCGAGTTGATCGGCGGGGTAGGTGTCGACCGATATCTACCTCCGTCGGCCGTCCCTATCGCGCCACGTCGGCATAGCCGAGAGAAGACAAGAACAAGCAGCGGCGTGAGTATAAGCGGTGCTTTTCGTGCGTATTATGCCGCGCAAGCCTCTAATGACAAGATCAAGATCAAGGTCGCGAATAGCTTCGTCTATAGAGTCGTTGTCGGCGCTAATACGCCCATTATCGATTAGGCTATCGTTAGGTTCACGCCAAGGTATTAGGTCGAACGAGTTTTCGGGTTAATAAGAAATACAGTCTAAGTAACGCTTATATTAAAGGAGGGTAATGAAAATAAAGGGCGGGCCCCTGCTAGTGCTTAGTGAAGACTGCGTAGATGATTGTTGGAATTAGCGCTGGTGCACCAAGTTTGATCTAGTTAGTGGTGGTGACCTGCTATAAACTCTAGCATATTAAATAATGGGATGTTAAACCTTGCCACGCTAAACCTTGCCACGCTAAACCTTGCCACGCTAAACCTTGCCACGCTAAACCTTACCACGCTAAACCTTGCCTGCTATACTAAACCTTGCTACGCTAAACCTTGCTATACTAAACTTAGCCGTTTTAAACCTCGTTAATTAAGACTCGATAACTTCTAAGCTCGCCGATTTATACCTCTTACTTTCTATTAAGCATAAATTACCTATATAGCATAGATAGTATAATATATATATAGACCTTAGTGTCTTATTATAACTATCTCGATTCGGTGCTAATTAGATACTATCCTTCGTTACTAGTTACCTATACTAGTAAAAAGAGCACGATTGCCCTTTTAAATATTTTATATAAACCTATAACGTACTACGTATCTATAAAAGAATATGGTGCGCGGTCTAATAATCCGGCGGCACCTTATACGTAATACTACGTAGCGATCGTAATCTTAGAATAGCTCCCTATTAATTTAGTTCCTATAAGTAAAGTCTTTAACGACCTTTAAAACGAATATACTCTTAATATAACGAGCTAGTAGAGATATATATAAATTTAGAATCTTTAAGTTTATCTTAGTCTTCTTAAATCTTATAGTTATTAGGAACCTTAACTTTATCTCCTTTATTACCTATACCCCTATAAAAGAGACTTCTTTAAAGATATAGATAAAACGTCGATAATTAATAGTCTTTATATTTTATCCTTCTTTCTCTTTATCTTTATCTTAATATAACTAACTATAAAATACGCCTTATTTTTATAATCTTATATATCTTAGCGGCTAAGCAACGCTTTAGACGGCTTAAGTTAATCTTACTTTTATTTTTATTACGTCTTAAATAAGTAGCGCTAAAGGTATAGTACCTTTACTCTTAATAGGTTATATACTATATACCGCTAAATATAATATTATATTTAATAAATTCGTAAAAGAGGCTAGCCTAAGTTTATTTAAGAAGTATATTATATACTAGCTATAGTAGACCTCTAAGATATAGCGTTAGAAATATATAGATACTATTACTTAAAGGACCCCGCCTCTTAAGTATTAAAAGGGCTCTTTAAAAATTAATAATTTAATTATTAGTCTTTATTTCTTATAGTTTCGTTATAATTATAGTCTATATAAAGTAGGTCCTTAAGTATTATCTATCTAAAGCTAAGAAAAATAGAAAGTAAGGATTAAGGTATAGTCCTAAGTATAAGTTTATATCGCCTATTAAAGAATATTCTTATAGCTATCGGCTTTATAGAGCGGAGCTAGGACCTAGGACCTAAGGCTAGGGCATAACCTACCGGGCCTAGGATAGCTAGGTCTACTAAGCTAGGCAAAGACCGTAATAATCCGTTAGTTAGGTCTATATTTTACCGCTCTTAAACGTATAAGTTTATATTCTTAGCTACTTTAGGTCGAAAAGCGTTTCCGTTAGGCACTATATAAGGCGGTGTATAGCTTATTCCTCTTCTTTTCTTAGCTCCTACGCCTCGAAGATACTACTTATTAGTTATTCGGCGTAATAAGGCTAAAGGAAAAGGAGTTATATCGAAGGTCTCTATAATTTAGCTCTAAGGCTTTATTTGCTATAAACTAATTATACGAGAAATAGTATATATAGACGTTAATAGGTTAGGAAGAACTATTACCTTAGGTTATAGAAATGCTTTAAAAATACAATAGTATTTATTTCTTTAATAATTCTTTTATATTTAGAACAGAGTAATTAAAAGTAAATACTATTAATAGCTCCTAATATTATATTTACGGAATTATCCTCTTACTCTACCTATAAACCTTTAATTAAGAGGGTTCGCGAGGCCGTAAAGTACTTAAGGGAGCTTATAAGGTATTTATATAGTTTGCCTTACTTATTATAGGGTAGACCTAAGATACTAAGGAAGATCTATATTATACTATAAGGAGGGCAAACTATAAAGGTAGAATAAAGTCTAGACTAAGTATAAGGAGGTATATAACTAAAACTAGGTTAGTACTATAATAATACCCCCTTCTTAAACGGCTATTTATCCTTAAATAGCCTTAACGACTAAGAGCCGCCTAGGTATAAAGTATATAGTTATACCTTTTACTTCTTTACTTAGACTAGGGGGCCTAGCTTATTTAGGTAAACTCTATAAAAGTTAAGGAGTACTTAGTTATATCCTTTTAGGTCTCTAGCCGGTTACTAAGTAGGGTTATAGTATTTCTACTTAACTAGGTAATATAGGCTATTAGCTTTTCTATAGCTATTTAGTAGCCCGTTAAATAGCTATTTTTCGACTAGTTCTCCTATCTCGTTATCGCGTTCTAGGACTCGTCCTCGGATATTTTTTAACTCGGCCTTATTAATAACGTCTTAGCTAGGTAGACTATTTACTTCCGGTTTTAGTTATAAGAGCGAGTTATAGAATATAAGAAAGATCTTTATTCCCTTAAGGAGTTTAAGTAGGTATAAATAAGAGTAGACTTTTAAAATTAGGAATAGTCCTACCTACTTATTATCTCCTTTCTTTATCGGCCGGTTTATCTTTATATTCTTTATACTTATATAGACTCCTTAACCTTTAGTATACTAAGGAGTATCTTCTTAATTAAGGTTAGCGTTCTCTTTATAGCTTTTAGCGGCTTAGGTTGCAAGGGCTTTTAGCTAGGTAATAATACGCTTAAAGCGATCGGCGATATTATTTACTTTAAGGAACTCTCGTCGTTAAGCTATAGACTAGTTTAGCGATAGTAGCTTAGTTAGTTCGGTGCTAAGTTTAAGGTAAAACCTATAGTTAGCGAAGAATAGTAATACTCCTATAGTCTTAGATATAACGTTATTTACGGCGAACTTAGCTAAGGGCAGCTAGTCGACCTAGTCGTCTTAGTA